ACCTTCTTGGTTAAATCGATTCCTAGGTATTTTAATTTTTTTGTGACTGCTGTAAATGGGCTTACTTTCTTGATTTCTCTTCCTGTTAGTTCATTATTGGAGAATATAAATGGAACAGATTTTAGGGTATTTACATTGTATACTCCATTGTTACTGAAATTATTAAACAGTCTAAGGGTTTTTTTGATAGAGTCTAGTTTTTTCTAGATATAGTATAACATCATCTGCAAACAGGGACAGTTTGACTTCATCTTTTCTAATCTAGATGCCATTTATTTCTTTCTCTTGCCTGAATGCTCTGGCATGTACCTCCAGTACTATGTTAAATAGAAGTGGTGAGAGTGGGCATCCTTTTCTTATTCCTGTTCTTAAGGGAAAAGCCTTCTGTTTTTCCCCATTCAGAATGATACTGGTGGTGGGCTTATCATAGATGGCTTTAATTGTGTTGGGATACTTTCCCTCTATACCTAATTTGCTGAGAGTCTTTATCATGAAAGGATGTTGAATTTTGAATTATACTACAAAGCAATGGTAACCAAAACATCATGGTACTGGCATAAAAATAGACACTCCGACCAGTGCAGCAGAACAAAGAACCCAGAAATCACCCCTCAGGCTTACAGCCATCTGATATTTTACAAAGGCAACAAAAACATACTTTGTATAAAAGACTGACTCTTCAATAAATGGTGCTGTGAAAATTGGATATCCATATGCAGAAGACTGAAACTAGACATGCACCTCTCACCACACACCAAAATCAACTCCAAATGGATTAAAGATTTAAGTATAAGACCTAAAATTGTAAAATTACTGAGGGAAAATATAAGTGAAGCAATTCAGGAACTAGGTCTGAGCACAGACTTTATGAACACGAGCCTGAAAGCACAAGCAACAAAAGAAAACATAAACAAATGGGACTATATCAAACTAAAAACTTCTGCACAGGGCCGGCCCGGTGGCGCACTGCTACAGTGCACCACTTGGGAGCACGGTGACTCTCCCACCAAGGGTTCGGATCCCACATACAGACCGGTTCCCGCTCACTGGCTGAGCGAGGTG